GTCTAGCGGCGCTGGTTCGAATCTGGTCTGGTTAGATTAAAATTAATTTAGAGGCGGATCCACGGAATGAATCTCTAGACCTTCCCACTAAGGTTAGATTTGGTTGCACCTTTATTACTCCCATCCCTTCCCCATCCCCTTCGTAAACCAGATATGGTGAGGAAGGGTGTAACCGAAAAATGTATTAAAACTACGTTTTTACGACATTTGAAGAAGAGCACCTTTTTACACATTGTTTCAGTGTTTGGTTAAATGATTAAAAAAAAAATAGACCAACTTTTTTTTGTGTGGGAACAAGAGAAGAACAGAGAACAGAGAAGTAAGATGAGCAGGATGGCTAATAAATAAGGAATCTTCTGAAGATTTTGGAAGAATAAGAAGAAACACCCAGAACTGATAAATGGTTATATATATTCTTAAAAAGTCAATTTCATTTTTAATTTAAATTACAAATCACAGGAGAAAATAATAGTAAGAAAAACCATGGTTATAAAATATTAATACTATTCTAAGACAATTGATAAGTTGCCGTTATTGATTTTAAAAAATGCTCAGTAAATAATTATTAGTTAAAAAAATATTTTATTTTCAAAAATAATTAAAAATAACAAATGGTAAATTTAGTACAATCACAAAATATCATAAAAGTCGGAAAGACGTTATGAAGAAAAAACAAATCACCCATCAATTATTAATGAAGCTTAAATAAATGTAATTGAATTTAGTAAAAAAATAATTTTCTCAACATTAATAAAGATTTTGAGCATAGATGCAGCAATTTAAAGAGCTGAAAGGACATTTTTTCTTAATATTATATAGAAAGTTTCATTAGCTTGTATAAGAAATGTTGTATCAAGGACATTTGGAAGAAAATAGTTGTGAAATGGAAGAGGGGATGATAATACTGAAGTTACAATTTTGAATTGTTTGAAGTTTTTATGAGCAAACTTTAAATGTTTCCAAGACTTTCATGTTATTTTCCTGTTGTTAATTTCCTCCTGACCCAAATGAAATTAGCTAAGTTATTTTTCTTATCATAGTAATAGATTCTGAGTTTAATTATAAGTTAAATATTATTATCAGTATCAGAATATTTTTTACTGAGGAAGAATTTTTCCAAGTATCCATAGTGTTTAATTTATTAATAAAGGGAAAAAATAATACCTATTATTGTTTGTCATTAAATGATAATAAATTAATTAAAAAATAGATAAAGTACTTACAGGGAGAGTTAAGAGCAATATGTTCTAAAATTTCTACACTTCATTATTTTTAATAAGCATTGCCATTAATTCACCACATACCTGCAAAATGATTACAACATTACAAATATCAAATGCCATCTTTAATACCATTAATGGTTGCCACTGTTAGGCAATTTAAGCATCTTGGGGGCACTTTAACTAAATAGTCCATTGTTCAATATTTATGAGGGGTACAGAAACTGCATTTAAGGGACGCATTTTTCTAATAGGCGGTTTCTAACACACGAAGGCGCTACTGTTCCACCAAATTATGGTCGTTTAGTGAGAATGAAAAAAAAATTCTGAATAATAGACTGACACGGCGAACATAAAAGGGACCAAACGAAAAAATAGTAGGTTTGAACTGAAAAAAAAAACGGGCTTTTATTTCTACAGCAAAATATACATAGGTAAAAATAAGCAAATTTGCAATAACCGATTCATATAATAGCTCGTACTTAAAGAGAAGAAACATATGAATTAAAGTCGTTATTTTTATAGAGTATAAAAAGTATAAATCTCTTAATTAAGAAACCTGTAAGCATTTTCAATGTGTATTATTATTTGATGTAGATTTGGCTTTCAACAATTATTTTTACATTAACCGGTAGAAAAATATTTTGATTTGCTATTTTCTTAAAATGTACTTATATACTACATATTTGAACTTAGAAAGTTAGAAATAAGTGTTTGCTTATTTCTATTCGTTATGATTGGACATTAACTGATGTTTACAAAGAATTAGTTTGGTACAAATTAATTTATTGTATATATAAATAAAATAAATTCACCTGTCTATGTTGAAATTATATTTGATTTCCTAGATTCTTTCAATCTCCCACTCACTGAGAAAATTTTGTGTATGCAACTTATTATTTGTTCGTTAGCGGGCGGTTAACTAACAAGCTCAACAGTGTTGCCATTATATTTTATTGACTAATAAACAAAATCGATTAGCAAGGGATTCATACTACAAGATAATAACTCTGAAATAAATATTTATTATTTATTACCTATATCCGAACAACTTCGAATTATTATTGAAATAGAAATTTTTCCATAAATTAAAATGAAAAAATATAAATAAATACTTTAGATTTTATACCACTGCTACACATTTTAAAACATTTAGGGCTACAAGCTTCAAGTACAAAAATCCATAGTTCATTATTTTTCAAGATAGTTTTAATGTCTTTGTGTCAACTAGATTACGAGATCTCATTAAAGAACAATATGAAACTCATTTGAAAAAAGAGGGTAATCAATAGTGACTGTCATATCATCAAATTTTAACAAAATTTAAATAAATCTATATTCAAAACAAACAAGATGAAAAGAACGGCCAAAATCGTTGAAATTAGAATAGTTGGTTGGGCAAAACATTGCACATTGGCGAAACATTGAGGGCGAAACAGCTACAGCAAGAAAGTCAGACGAAATATTAAATATAAATTTAATGGTTCAGTACATGTATTTAATTTAACAAACGCTAATATGACTGTAAAGTTGCGATTTCTTTACTTTATTCAGCAATGCTGACTATCATTTTTTTGTCTTATTGAAAACGTGAAATAGAAAGCAAGAGAAGAAATGGTTCTACGAAGAAGTAGAGACTTGCATGGACTAGCATGTCTATTGGGAGGAGTTGGAAAACGGTAGTCGTGGGAAAAGAATGTCGCATGTCAGTGCAGTTTACTGAAAACTTTCGTGCAGTGGTCCTGTAATATGACCAGTTCCGACTGCTCTATTATAGCTCCCCCATTAGATCCATCTTTTTCTTTTCCAATAGGTGTCTACTCCCTCTCTGCTTCCATAGATTCTGTACCTCATAATTTTATTTTAGCCACTGTTAGATGACCGTTAATAAGCATTATTAAAATTCATAAATAAACTATCAGAAGACTGACAATAGGTACTAATGCTAGGATTTCCAAATGCAATTCTGTTTGATCCAGAGGTCTCCAAACTAGAGCCATGCAAATGTTTCTTAGATGACATGATAAAAATTAAAAAATATGTAATCTATTATATCACTCAAACACAAGGTTACAACAACCTATATTGTATGAATTCACTCATTTCACAAGTAGTATCATTTATAGAACAAGATTTTTGTTATCTTCACAATCTTTCATGGTCTATGAAACTTCGTGGAAGTCTCAATATGGCCAGCAGAACTTAGTTGTCTCAATGTGGTTCATGGTCCAAAAAGTATAGAGATCTCTGGTTTAACCAAAGACAATGAAAGTTCCTTTAAACACATACAGGCTTCCTAAACAACTTGTTAATTTTAATATCTCTCATTTTTACTAACTAGATTTTCCCAATATAGTAATAATATTAATTTTAATTTTATAGAATAATGAAGTTAACATTTGATATAATATCAAATTTGTTCATCCTTTTTTATAAGGCTAATTTTTTTTCTATAGATTTCGCCTTAATCAGTAATGACCCCACACATTTATATACAATATAGTTTAGCAATTTGAAAAATCATGAAATTTCTTGTAATTTTCCAAGCTCTAAAGGTATCATATTTCATATGAATTTAATGACATCCACATTGACTCAAATGAATTAATAAAATGACCCTGATAATGTAAACATTTACTGATTTTTAATTGTACATCAACATGGAGTCAACATAAAATGATATTTATTAGTATTGTATTCCAAAACTAAAATGAGAAGTTTGGATTTACTCAATTTAGTCCAAGAAAGGGGATGATATTTTGACTGCCTATATAAACACCAAGGAATTTTTTTCTCAAAATACCTTCAAAACCCTCATACATGTATCATACAAATATATATTTGAAGTGAACAAAAACACTTCAGTATAAGAGAAGGAATTTTTAAAATTAGATTAACTAAAGAATGAAATATTTATTTAAGCAAGATCAATTTGAATGATTCCTATGACTTAAAAATGTTATAGTCGAGGGAATATAAATGGAGTATAAGAGTTTGATTCATTTATTATCATTTTAAGACCAAAGAGATACTCTTTACTTCATTATACATAGATAATTTACCCTATAAATTAAATCTAAGATGATATGGTTGAAAAAATAACCTCATATAGTGGTAACTATTTGGCTGAATCACTTCATTAAAATAAGTTTAATAAAGCATTGATACAATGTTGATTGAATAGTTTTCTTGAAATTATCACAATTTTTTCCTTTCGAAAAAAAAAAATATACTTATATATATCGAAGGCAGTAACGGTAAAAACATCTGTCTTGCTTTTTCAAATTAAAAACATACTTGCTCTACTTTACTTGAAGGAACGTCTTCTCATTTTTGTAACTCTTATAAATTGGAAGTCACTTAATTTTTTTATATCACAAAAAAAAATAAAAGACTGGTATATAATATTTATGAAATCTATTTAAAGCAAAGGCAAAAAACTATAGTATAAAAAAAAAAGTTGAAATTATATGAAACATTTTTCTTCTCAGCTCCTAAGGTCCATTGTAACGAACACCGAGATGAGTCTCCAATATTTTTTGATTTAGTCACAAACTTTTACTTAAATTAAACATGGGATGATTGTTTATATAATTTATGTAAGTAGTTAAGATTGAACACAGTACCGTTTGAGTTCATTCTCTGGGAGTCAACTAATTTTGGGAGTGCTTTAGTTAATCATAATTAACACAAAGTTTTCTGAAGAACATTATTTTCTTCAAATGTTAGTAGTTCATAAGATGGACAACAACAGGGTAGTAAAATATTGAAAAACAAACATTTTTAAATAAATCTGTGTATTTATTACAATATATATAATTTAACACTCAAGAAGACTTATAAATTAAGTGATTTACTAAGTACAAATTAAATGATCTAAGTACTTTTACTCAACTAAACATGTGATGCTTTTAAGTAACAGAAACAAGAAATAAAAGTAGAAACAATTTGTTTTATTAAAAATACAAAATAATACTAAAAAATACAAAAAGGAACAGAAACATTATGAGGTAGAACCAACAATGATTAAGATAACAACAATTTTTTTTTCTTATAAAGACATGAAAGTAAATTAATGCTAAATTGACTTATTTATTTTCTTAAAAAATTCTTGATTTTTGACGTATCAATGAAACAGTATAAGTACAACGACATAGATCTGAAAATAGCCATGTCTTAAAATAGCACCCTCATAACATCCATTCTTAACTAAAACTAAGGCAGTTTAAAGTTTCTCTCTTTTCTTAAAGCTTGAGAAGTTATAAAAAAATCTCTTGAAGCTTCCGAGTTATCTTCTTTATGCATCTCTCCTTCAATGACAACTAAGATATTTATGCAGAAAAAATATAAATGAAAAACTTTTGCTTAAGACACATTTTGTGAAAGACAGGGTCATTCAAAATAATATCAATTTGGTGATGTGGGGCTGTTTGTACCAGCAACACAGTAGGAATGCAGAGAGACGTGAATAAGAGATTTTTTATCAACAATCATTCTGATTTACAATGCAGACACATATTGTTAAACCAGCCCAGCATCATGAGCCATGCCATAGAAAATAGAGGACCTGTTCTTCATAAGTACATGTGGAGGATCGAACTCAACAACGACTCCACGATCTAATACCAAGACTCTGAAAAGCAAAACATAATTAAATTAAAAAAATGAATTGGCTAAAATAACTGATTATAAAAAAAATGAATAAATTTTCATGAAATCATAACTAGTTTATGAAAGACTCAGCATTAGAGATATTGTCATAATTAAACTAACAAAAATAGTTATATCATGTTACTAATACTTTTCAAAGATTTGCTTTCACCAATGTCAAGAATTTTTGCTAACAGCATCGGTACCAATATGATTTTACTGTGATTCCATCTTCAGAACCCATGATAATTAATAATTCTCATACATGGAAATAGATTTGACATTTTTATAAATTGTGATAAGTAAATCATTTTTTTTTCAAAGCTCAATATTGATGATATACCTGTCAGAGTCCATGATAGTGTTTATCCTGTGCGCGATAGTGAGGACGGTACACGATGCAAACTCACTCCTTATAGTTTTCTGTATAAGATCATCAGTTTCTAAATCAACAGCAGCTGTTGCCTCATCTAATATCAAGACTTTAGTTTTACGAAGAAGAGCACGAGCAAGACAGATAAGCTGGCGTTGACCAACACTAAAAATAATAATAAAAATTAAAACTACGAGATTAATACCACAATTACAAGATTGCAATATGAATTATTAGTCCTTTCTTTTTAAGTAATCTATATTAATTGGCTAAATTAAGCCCATTCATTCAATCTAGAAAACATTAATAACAGTGACGTTCTTATGAAATAAAAAATACAAGCCGACTAACCAAATAAAAAAAATCAATAAATTTTTTCTTAACCACCCTTACCTCTCTCTTCCATTCCTATTGCTTTATTTCCTTGATTTTCATAAACTAAAATTACTAAAATCTGTTATCTGCGACTCATCTAAGTTTTTCATCTTGTATTATATTTTAACAAAGATTAAATCTAATGACTAGATTTAATCAATAACAGGTCAATATTTTTCTTAAAACATTGAATTTTAGAGGCAGAGTAACTCAGTGAATAAATACTGTGCTCCAATCCTACCCAGGACTCTATCCGACTCCAACTCAGAAGTTAGAGTCCAGACGTGGAAGATAATCATTTATTATATTGTATAAGCTGTAGAATGCCTCTGTGATTGGGATACCCTCCTGTGACACAATCAGTCTCAACATAGTGTAATGTAATTAGGGAAAAATTGGTAGTTGAGTGTGATTTTGGCCAAATTATCATCTTCCACAATTGGCCTATAAACAGTACTTTCTAACCAAATACTGAGCCCAAGACCCTTTGTGATTGTAGTGGTACAGGATTTTTTTTTTAAACATGGAATTAAAAGAAAGAACTATGGCATAACTACTAAACAAACATTAGCACAACTTAAGAAAAAAAATTCATAGTCAACATTCACCTCAGGTTATCTCCTCCCTCAGAAACTTCATGTTGCAAACCTGCAGGAAGCCCTTTTACGAAAGATTTAAGATGGGCAAGCTCAAGTGCCCGCCACACTTGTTCATCATTGAAATGAGAGAATGGATCCAAATTCATTCGCATTGTTCCAGAAAATAATACAGGATCCTGAGAAAATAGAAACAACGGATATTCACATAATAATTAAAAAAGTTTCATTGTATTTCAAGACTAGAATATATAAATATAACTGTAAATATTTTTGACAAAATGAATATTTTGTTACACTAAAATTTAAAATAATGACCAAATAATATCATTACTGACTATATATGCAAGAAACTATAATGATAATTAAGCTTTTTAAACTATTGATTTGATAATACTTTGAATAAATGAAGATTAATAATTACCTGAGGAATGATAGTAAGACGAGATCTCAAGGCATGGAGGCCCAATTTGGAAATATCAATACCATCAATCATGATCTTTCCGTCAGCTGATTCAATTATTCTGAAGAGACTTAGGGTTAGCGAAGATTTACCAGCTCCAGTCCGCCCGACGATACCAACCTAATATAATAATTATAAGGTTATATTTCTACTGTAATAAACATTTTTTCATTTTTAAATATTCCATAACTATAATCATAACCTGTCCAAAATAGTCGTAACGAGCACAATTTTTCCCTAAAAGCAACAAGGAACTTGAACTTCCCAAAATGGGGCAACAACTGAGATAGACCACATTCTTGTCACCAGTAAGTACTTCAACAGTGTGCATAACCTCCGGACTTACCGAGCCCCCCGATGTAGACTCAAACCATTTATTGATGCTTATCAAGTTGACATGCCACATATATCAGACATTTAGAAGAAATTATGACCAAAGGAACAGGTAGGGATAAAGACAAAATAAGTAGAGTGGAGGTAAAAAGTATTTTTCAAAACTGCATTGAAAGAGGGGTTGAGAATATACCAGTAAATGAAGATGGCAGGAACGTGCAGGAAGAATGGAACACACTTAAGCAAGTAATAGAGGAAGCTGCTGATCAATGTTGCAAGAAAGATAGGAGAGTTAATCCCATTTCCTGGTATGATCAGGAGTGTGAAAAAATTATAAAAATCAGGAATATTAAAGAGGGTAAAATATCTGAACAGAGACACTCGTCAAGACCGCAGAGAGTACCAAGAAGCAAGAAGCCATTCTAAGAAAGTGCTGAGACAGTAAAAAAGAAAAGATTTTCAGGAAAAAGTTAAAAAAGATTAAAGAAGTAAGACTTAGAAATGAAACAATAAAGTTCTTTCAGTAAAGACCGCCAAAGTTGGTTCTGTTAATGAGTCAGGTATGGTAAGAGACAAGAATGGAAAACTGCTTGTTGTGGAGAATGAGTTATGGGAAAGATGGAAAGAGCTCTTCCAGGAGTTACTCAACCCTGCGGATGGAGAAATAGGAACACACAGAAGTATGCAATCATTAAGAGAAGAAGATATGGATGAAGTCATGCCACCTGATTCTGACAAAATCACAAATATTTTGGAAAAGCTAAGGAACAATAAGACAGCAGGATCTCTGAATAATTTCTCAAACAAGGGGGGAATCGCCTTTTAGAGGAAATTACTAAATTAGTAGCAAATGTTTGAGAAATAGAAAAACCACCGAAAGAATGGAAAAATCCCTCATTGCCCCTATTTATAAAAGAAAAGGAGATGTAAGTGACTGCAGAAATTATAGAGGTGTCAACATACTTAATTCTGCTTAAAAGATATTCTCTATTGCTCTATATAACCACATTGTGCCATACATGGAGAGACAATTTGGAAATTACCGGTTTTAGGACAAATAGATCAAATTTTTGCCCTTCAACAGATCATGGAAAAAATGAACGAGAAATAATAACTCATGTGGACGCCCTTCATTGATTTTAAGGCAGCGTATGACACGATGAATAGAGAGGAGTTTTGTTATGCAATGTATGAATTGGGGGTACCAGCAAAGCTGATTCGTTTAACGATGGCTACCATGAAAGGCACCCTCATTAGAGTTAAGGTAAAAGGAAGAATTGGCGACTCCATTGCAGTTTGGATGGACCTCAGGTAAGGTGACTAATTAGCTCCACTCCTCTTTAATATTGCCTTAGAGACCATCATGAGAAGGACAAGATTAAATAATGGAGGAACAATATTCCACAGAATGACCCAACTGCTCATGTATGCTGATGATGTGTTCATTGCATGGCGATCACTTCAAGCAGTGAAGAGTGCATTCATTAGGTTGGAGAATGAGGCAGAAAAAATGAGGCTATGCGTCAACGAAAGTAAAACTAAGATCCTTGTTTTAAGAAAGAAAAAGCTTGTCCATCCACCACAGCACTGTCATGGAAAACCATATTTTCAAGCTGTATCAAGCTTCACCTACCTCAGATCCAAAATTAACGATAATAATAACAAAGAGGAAGAGATAGGAGCTAGGAATAATGGCTACCAACAGAGCGCACTTTTCTCTAGAGATCCTTCTGAAAAGTAGATTGGTAAGTTGTACAATGAAGTTTAGGATATACAAAACGATTATTCGGTCAGTTGCAACATATGCGTGTGAGACATGGACTCATGGAGTACAGTGAATAGAATGGTTAGGACATGCCCTGAGAATAGATGAAGCGAGGATAGCGAGAAAGCTTCATCATGGGAAGCCAGATGGAATTAGGTCTAGAGGAAGCCCAAAAGCAAGAAGGATAGATAACGTAAAAGAAGATTTGAGAAAAACGGTATTTCCATCAGGGATGACTGGGCAAAGGAAATTTAGCAGGCCAAGGCATATGCCTATATGCATCTGTTGCACCAATTATAAATGAATGAAATATTCCATAACAGAGAAAAATGAAAGCATTCGGAGCTTCCATTAAAAAATGTTACAAGTCATCTTAATAAAAATGATATTAAGAGTGATACAAAGCAACAAAACATAATCTAACTATGCAAGTCCTTACAACCCATGACTTAACATACATATAATATTGGTCAATAACTTGGTAATTATAAACTTTAAATTTGTTGGTCGGGTGATGTATTCGGCAGCAAAAGTAAATTTAATAATCATTAATTCAGTTGAATTTAAGAATATTTTTACTAACTCACAAATAGTAAAGACAATATGAAAAATAATATTGTGAAACAATCACACCATTTCATAAATTAAAACTGTTCTTGTTTATTTGTTTTTGTTTGAATCTGTAAAATCCTTAGGTCATCAATACCTAAAATCAATCCGCTTAATACTTATAAAATTTTGATTACCTTTTCACCACCAGAGATTTCAAATTTGAGACCTTTAAGAACTAAATCAAGTCCTTCCCTGTATCGAACTTTAAAGTCCACAAATTCAACTTTACCCGAGTCAGGCCATTCTGATCCAGCCAAGCTAGGAGTGATCTCCCAAGGAGCTTCCTAAGACAAATATAGTAAAATTTTAATTTACAAAGACGAATTCTAATTCACTAAAATAAATATTTATAATTTATATAAAGATGATAGAAAATAGAAAAACACACTTATATAATATTACAATTGATTAATAAAAATAAGTTGATTAAAATCTTTTGCAGTCCATCACATATCTTTCACTTAACACCCTACTTTCGGTAGAAATTAATAAGCATTAACAATATTACTTTAACTATAAATGTAAATATACAACAATTGATTTAAAGTATGATCATTCTGTGCACTGAATGTTTTCAGTTTGTTAAGCTCCACTTAGTTGTCATGGAGACATTTATTTTCTATTCCATAATATAAAAGTATAAATTATAAACTAAATCGATTATTAGTCCATTCGTTTTTGTTTTTTTTTACTCTCCATTTACTCTCTATGACTTCATAAGTTAGATATTAGTATATAAATAATGATTTTATAGGTTGAATATTTTGCTTTTTTAACAATAAAATAGGGTGGCTGCCAGAACCTTTTCATGAAATTCGCTGACTTTTCTAGGCCATTGAAATAGCTGTAATAGAATATAACTGATATGTAATATTAATCGTTTAAACCATCGATACTGATATAATCTTATATTATTCTGAAAACACCAATAGAAGGATTGAAATAGGCTGTATTCATTTAGATTCAACGGTTGGTTGAGAAAATATTACAGAGTGTGTGTAGCGGTGGATTTAAAAAAAAACAACTGTCCAGAAAACTTTTTTTATGTGAACTATTGGTCTTTGTCTTTAATAATTAAGGCATGATTTTCTTTTTTACTATATGGAAATGTGTGTTTTGATAGAGGTATTTAAAACTGTTTAAAAATCGGGACAGAGATTTTTAATGATTAGCATTTTCAGAAAACATTTCTAATTTTTTTTAATCACATAGCTATGTGAGGCTGTTAAAAAACTATCAAAATTTAAAATTTAATGCGAACATTTTTTACTAATCTAGAAAACTCTTAAATAAAATCAGATGAATTAACAACAAATAATGATCAATAAGACCAAAATGTAAACCCAATAATTAGGTCAGTGAAGATGTTGACATTTAAAATTACCTGGGGTGTATCAGCATATTCCTTGATCCTTTCTACTGCAACAATGTTGGTTTCGACATCCGCAGTCATTCTAACCAACCAATTAAGTGTTTGTGTGATCTAAAAAAGAAAAAAAAAGTTAATTAATACCAAGGCGTAGGAATAAAAATGTGACCACAACAAAGCATAATAAAATAAATTTACTTGTAGAGCATAACTGACTGAAAGACCAACAAGACCCGGGGTTAGGGAGTCTCTACCAAATACAGCGAACAAGGCAGAGAAAAATATTATTAAATTACCAACCATTTCAAGTCTTATAGCAAGCCACCTTGAAAAATACAAAATATTAAGAAACCAGAAATAAAAATAAACAATACGAAAGTAAAATTTTGTACTTACCTATTTGCAATGATACCTGGGTACGTACACACTTGGTTGGAATCTACTTTCTCTTCAGATTCTCTAATAAACCTTTCCTGAGCACTATAAGCTCTAATGAGTGAAGCACCTAAAAAAAATAAAGAAAATAACATTGGAAAAGTATTTATATTATGAATGAACTGAATATTTATAATATAAAAAGTGATACTTTTATAATAATAAAAAGGTTTGATGTAGTTCTAAAAGGAAATTGTAGAAAATAGGAACATGAGCTAGAAAGGAGAGAAACACTTTATTTTCATAAAATATAAAATATAAAGGATTGCTGTCCAATTACATTGGGTCATCTCAATATTGCTGTATGGAGTTAGGGTGATATCAGAGGAATGAGATCTGGTTTTATAGAAATCCACTGATGATTTTAGGTTCATGCTTTCGCAACATTGGAAAGTGATTGTGATAAGAATAAATTTTAAAAACTAATCGATTGTTCAAGTTTAAGTGTAGGTATATTTTATGTTCCAAGTACATAGAGGTTTAGGGAAGAGAACATATATTAACATAAAATATTTTTGAAGGAAGAGATTCCACTCAATGAATCAGAAGGATAATAAATGAAAATGTTACCTGAAACACTTTCACCAAAGTGGGAATAAATTGGTGATCTAGAAACAGACTCCAATCTTTTCAACTGCCGAGAAGTAGCCACATAGAATCTCTGAAAATTATAATAAAAAAATATTGTAACTCTAATCAAAATATTTATATTTTTTCAATTGTAAATAATAAAATATTTTAATATTACAATAAATGGAGTAAAATGATTTTTTAAAAATAAAGTGCTTCACATTTCATGTAAAGAAGCGGGCACTAAGAAGAAATGTTAGCCTGTGAAGTCAAAAAAATTGAATGGGACTATTTTGAACGACAAGTAGATCATAGATGTCAACCACATTTAAAATTGTATGTTTCTTACAGAACTGAAAAGTATGGAATGTTCTGAAAATTAATAAACTGGAGGAGGAAGGTCAAGTTATTACATGAGATGGATTGTTTAGGATAATAAAATTTAAATAGGATGAAATAGACTCATAACATAAGTCTCATTCAGAATAAGGGACATGAAATATGTGGCATAGAAGTATGATGGCGAAAGACGATAAAAAAGTCTTATTTCAAAAACATTTTATAGATTATCATGACCATTGCCACCATTATCATGACTATTGTCTGATAAAGTTTATGAAACAAAATGACTCAAGTAGGTAATTACTAAAATTAAATAGAACTTATGAGTCTGATCAAATAAACAGCATTGCCCACTCCCTTTATTAAACAAGGCAGCCTGATATGCAAAAGTAATTCACTTAGTTAACACTACTTTATAACTAAAAATATAATAGAATAAAAGAAATGTCATAAAACAATTATAAAATATTTACCTGTATGAAGTAGTAAATGAATCCAATAGGTACGATAACACAAATGAATATAGGGGTTGAATAGCTTATGACAAACAATGTTCCTATAACCTGTACAGCAAACAAATACAGTAATCCATTTAAAGGTATACATACAATTAAATAATTAAAAAATTTCAAACATGTTAATAAAAAAGGCATAAACTGCTTTTAACTAAAAAAAAAGCAAGTTTTTGTAAAAATTCAAAATATTAATCTATTACTTGGTAAAATAATTAATTTTTATTTAATATATGTATTAGAAGGACAGTATGGATGGGAAGTCCTCAATTGATAGGTGAACAATTTCACTATTAAGTACAACTGTCTTTATTTATTAAAAAAATTGATTAGTAAACAAGCATATTCAAACTATATCAACAGCCACAATGCAATATCCTGTAAGGACAATTTTAATGAAAAATAGGGTTTTGAGCTTTTCAGGTCAATCTTGGTTTGGTGCATATCCTGACCTCACAAAACGAAATCTAAGATGTTTCATTTCTTCTCTACAGCCTTTAGAAAAAACCTGTAAGTTACCGTGCAGGTTATAGAGATTGTCATTATCGAAAAAAAAATGCAATTAAATGTTAAATGAAAGGTAGTCATACAAATGTGCTAAGTGAATTTTTTTATGGGCTAATTATAGCGTATCAGAATTCTTTATTAGACTGACTTTCATTCAACCATATAATTATTACCAAGGATTGAATATAATACAAGAGACTTTTTAGGATAGTATTTATTAAGTATCTTGTATTTAAGTTAGATTTAGTGTTAGTTGATAAGTATAATATCGTAGGATGTCAAAGAAACAAAATAACTACCAAAATCAGGCATTAAAAGCAATGAAAGGCGAGATGGCACCGTGCCTTTTATCAAGAGTTGTTCATTATTATTAACAAAGTTATTAGTCTTATTGAAATAGATTTGATTGATTTTAACTAATACCTATTTTCTAATGTACCTAAAAATCTGTATTTAAGTTTAAATCAAGGTACTGCTGAGTACTTATCGCCATCACATTTGCTGATTGTCAACAATAAGTTGACAGGCGAAAAACATTTTTATGGAAAAAAAAAAAAGTTAAAAGTAAATTCCTTTAAGTTAGAAAAGTGGCTCTAAAAGACTATTTTGCAGAAATATGACAAAAAAACGTTACATTGTGCAATTCATCTTTGTCTTACACCAGCAAAAGAAATAAATTGGACAGAAAATATGAAGTTCATAAAATAAAAATTATGGAGTTTTTTTGTCTCCTGAATATTTTTAGATTTTGTTCTTACAGGCGTTTGCAGTGCGGATGTCGATATATTACCTTACAGATCTTTAATTTATCACAGAAGTATAAATTTTTTGGAGATGGAATTAAATACATATTTCAACTTATTGATTTGCTCTCATTTTTCTTTATTTTTCCCAATCTATAATTTTTATAGACAATTTTATGAATTTATGGCAAAATTATTTATATGCCTGCTTTCCATCATCTTATGATAATATTAATTATGGGATCAGATAAAAAATAAATTTTGAAAAATTACAGTCTTGTTTACAGTTCCCTACAGAAAGGAAGAAAACTAATTGAAATTAAAATTCAATGCAAAATCAAATCATTATTACAGCTTATGCCCTTTATATAATAAATATTTATAATATCATGAAGACAAAATAAATAAAATAAAAATAAATAGGTTCATAAAAACCAGAGACAGTGATTCTCACTTATATTAATCCCAAAGGCATTTCTAATTAACTTGCATCATATTTACACGTGATCAAACTGACATTCATAGAAATTAAAACAATAATATCAATCCAAAAAACACACACTTTTATAGATTTTAGTTAACATAGTATTTTTTCATGCATTTTTCTGATATAAAAATAATATAAATATTATATCTTATATTAAAACTAACTAAATTAAATTAAAGTAATAATTTCCATAGTAATTACTATAACCAGGAAACAATGTTTTGATTCATAAAAACTCATTGATATCAAGTGGTTAAAGATCAGAACAGGACCTACTCAGTATAATCAGAATGACAGGATGTTGAGAAAAGTACTTCCTGCTACCTAGATTGCCTACTACTCCCAGTTGTCATAGATACAGTCTATAAATTTCAAGCATGAAACATTTAACTGCAAAGGGGAAAAGGCACTGAGTAATTGTATTAAAACCTATCATTAACAGGACAGAAGAAAATGACTCTTATCCATCAGGGACCAGCCAAAGTAAAGCACAAAAAGCAGTTTATTTTTTATTTATTACAGCCAATAATTTGGCACAACTAAGCTTCAACATAAATGTTAAAGGTTTGATGCTATGTATCAATGTAGCACATAAACAATGTAAGCGAATTTGTTTCTTTTCGAGATGTTTATGCATACTAAATTAAGAAATTGATTTCATAGTAGCAGTTAATTTCTCCTCATCCATAAATTTGCCCTGAATATTATTTTCAAAATAGGACCAACTTATAATTGAGTAAATAAGTAAATATATTTTAACGGGTTTAGATAATTTAGAGACAAATCCTTCAAAAAAAAAAACAAATGTTTAAATCTATTTTAAGATAACCTTTTATCAAAGAACTGTTTAAAGAAAATAATTACGGGAAATAAAATAAATAATTTGTGTACTACATCTTAAATAGTTGGAAGGAATAGTACACACTAGAGTGTGTACTAGAGAGTCATAAGAATGAAATTGCAGTTATTTGCCATAATATAATAATGATGATATTACAAAATAATTTTTACAAGAGAAAAATGCCTGATAAATACTTAGGTGATTTCAAAACAATAATAAAGCAATTGGTGTAGGTGTATCCATGAAGCTAATGTGCATATTTACATGCATAAATAAATGCAAGCCAATGATGGATCATCTTTTCAGTTCTAATCATGCAGTGATATCACAAAAAAAAAAAAAAAAAAAAACAACAACATACATTATTACATTGTTGAGTAAATAAACAAGAATAACAACAAAACATTGTTTTCTATTTACTCTTCAACATTTGACTTTTCAAGGGCTATAATTCAACATGTACTGCATTACATTATCTCCTAAATCACAAATTGATAAACTAAACTAATTAGATTAGATTAAAACATGAAAAGCAGTTTAAGTTGGCTCAATAGCGTTAGAGAATTATTCAGAATACTAAATAACTAATAACTTAGTTTGTCAACCATTAATGTTTATTTACATTTGTAATTTAAAAGCAACATAATGCTGACAGAGTGTCACTGTAAACAAAAATTTCAGTTCACTTGGCTTCAATATATACAATAATACATGATAAAAATAAAGGATGTGAATAAAGCACCTCCTTTAATTGATATATTGCGTAAACAAATTGACAAAGGTCTAATAATTTAATGTCAGGACTAAATAACAAGACTGATGCTGTAAAAGATTTAATTTTGATTTAATACATATTTACTTATTATCGCCTTCATTATACTATTCTATTCCTACAATGCTCCATGCAAATCTTCTATTCTCTTAAACAGTGCTGGAAGTCAACAATCAACTCCTTCAAGACGCCTACCTCTTTCACTTTCAGCAATAACCTCAATGAAGTATTGTTGATTAATAGTTTGATTAATGATGATAGCTTGAAAAAGTTGCTCAATTCCATGAATATTAAAAAAACAATCATAATTGCTTTGAATTTTTATTTACTCATTTGAACTTTTATCTCTTGGTGAAGTTAGACTCTTCCAGGGCATGGATTGGAACTTTGTTTCAGGAACAAAGGCGCTGACAGAAGCACTGCACTGTTCCAGACAATGGGAGATTCACATGAAGCATTATATAATGAACCTGATAATACGTAGATATATATGAAATCAAAATAAAATGTTTCATGTCATCAGCCTTGTTATTTGATGGCCACACCTTGCATTCATCCCTATAAAGGAAAGCACGACAAAAAAATAATTTTTTTCTTACTCAAATGGAAATAATGTTTTCAAAATTCTAACAATGCTTAGTATTATCATTCTATCTATAAAAAGTAAAAAAAAAATCATAGATACGCAAACTGACATAAAATCAGAATCATACTCAATTCAAATTATAGTTTAATTACCGAAAAAAAAACAAAAAACATTTCAACTTGAGAAGAGGTTTATGATAATAATTACATCATAAAAGTGATTTATACACCCAAGTTAAAATATTACTAAAACAATTTCGCAAAATAAGGAAAAATTACATATATCATATTATAATAATCATTATATACCAATATGAGAATATATTAGATTTAAAAAAGGAACATAATACAAAAACTAAAGAAAACATAATTATTAAAAAGTTGATTAACTAAGAAACAAACTAAGTAATAATTAATAAAGAGTAGAAAACAGATTTTTTTTTCAAAATCAACTTATTTATGGGACAAGGAAGCGATACAGAAATATAAAAACATTTGACCAAAAATGAAGAAAAAGGAAATATCTTATATCAAAAATATACTTCATAGAAATTAAAAACAGCATCTGTGATTTGCATTTAGGATGCATAATTGAGAATATGAAGGTATTTAAAAAGTCTTCTAAGGGAAATAAATGGAGTTCCATTTATAAATAAAGACAGTAATCTGAAGATGGTGTAAGATTTGAACATCAAATATTCTATCAAATAAACAAGCGGACAAAGGTACAAATCAGGAGAATGGACAGAAGCAACTATAGAAATAGTCTTTCATTGAATGTTAGTAATATAATACTCAGGATGAATAACTGTTTTATAACTAGACTATGAAAAAGAACAAGTAAAGAAACTAATCAAAAACGAAATTGACCAAGGATCGGTAAAAAAATATAGCATAAAATCATTAATTTTCATTAAATGAAAAAAATAGGTAATTATGTATGTAATCATAAAAAATATTTATATTTAATATCTAATTTAAACAGATAAAATTTGGTCAAAATTAAGCACTTGGTGTAAACCAAAAAATGTGTCATTTTATACAAAAAAAGAATGACCAAATACAATGCTAGGTCACATCACAGATTTTTTTCAATGAATTATTGCATGAATTAACCAACCAGTAATTTTTTTTAGTAATTAAAAATAAAAAAATGGATCATGATAATTAAACAAATAATGTGATAAAGAACATATGCTTTCACGTTTTAATAAAATAAACTAATCTGATGAATAAGCTTTTTAAAATGATGAAATAAAGTCTTTGAAAAGTCAACTGCTTCAGATAGAAATGAAGTGATCCCCCCAGCTAGTGAAAGAAAATTACAAATATAAAGTACAAAAGAAAAAAATCAAAAACAACATACATCAAAACCACAATACAGTAAGTCACTAAATTGAGCAGGTAATGTGTTGTCCATGACATCAATATCTTTTGAAAAACGTAAAAGTATGCGGCCTATTGGTGTTACATCATTGAAAGACAACGGGACTCTTAACATTCCATAAAGGAGACTGTTGTGCAGAACACGTGCAGCTGCCCAGCAACCTATCCGAGGTATTAAGTCGCTACCATAAGAAGTAATACCTGTAACCATTTTAATTCTCAATACCAACCGTAGCATTATTAATTTCAATTGTATCTATAACTCTGTAATGAAAAAACATTATAAACTATAATTCTATACAGGTATGCTTTTTGGCAGCTCTACACCTGACTTAAACACTAATTAATCTATTTTACATAAATTTACAGACGAACCATTTAATATAAATCTTATAAATTAAAAAAAGCTTTCAAGCAAAATGTTTGTACAAAGCAGAAAGAGTTAATTTTGAATCCAACCCACGTCATACAGATTTACATGAAGATAAATTAAGTAATGGTAAGAATATAAAAATAAATGTTGACTATTAAGTATAATATAATATTGCATAATACAGGATAGCCCTTAGCTGTATAATCTTTACCAAATAATAATTTTTTTTTCTTAATATATTCTGGCACTGAAAATATCTACTTATAGTTTGCTTTCAGAAATAGTCTTATGAAAACACAATTTATACTAGAGTTCAACACAAATTCCATTCATGCTGATCTGGTAAATCAATTCTCCGAATTCCAGGAGATCGAAATATGGACTTTTTTTTTTTTTGTAGAGAAGAGATTATGGGCATCAGTTTTTTATTAATATTCTATTAGTGAAATGATTTAGCTCTGAGTCTCATCAATTGGTGGTGGAGTACTGTGAGATGTAATAAGATTTAACATCTACCAATAGCCACGGAAGGAGATAACTTAGAACTTTATTATTTATTTTTTTTTTTTCTGGCATCTAATTCCACTTTGGCTAATAATAGAAGCCTGTACTGCAATTTCCTCCAAACTATTCTAATTCAGCACATAGACTTTGCAAATCCCCAAATTAATTAATAGATTAAGAGGTTTGCCAGGTCTAGATAACATAGTCAATGCCAAAATGCGTAAGTCATCTATAAAATAAGGCATCACACAAGTATATAATAAAATATATATGTAATCTTTTATCCTGCAATTTATGGGATTCAACCACATTATAATAATGTTGGAGTATAAATATATTAAACTCTAACTGACAAACAACAAAAATCAACCAAACTCTATGGCCATAAGCCAATCTGATTTTACCGTAGCATATTTATCATGCTACACTAAGCTTATCCATTTATACAATTTTATTTATTTATTTTTCATATAATATATTTTTAAAAAGTTGAAATATGTATGTATATCATTACTACAGTATTGTTTTTGATTTAAAGTTAAAAAACAGAGAGTAAAAATATTGAATATTAATGATTTGCATGAAGAGTGCATATATATATATATATATATATATATATATATATATATATATATATATATATATATATATTTTTTTTTTTTTTGTAAATCTAGTTCTTATAAAATAATTATTATTGGGTTATCCATTGTACGATACATTTAAGAAGTAAATAAAATGGTGGGGAATCTCACAATTTTAAGTAAACTTGTTTCGTTTTTTTAACAACAAACATTTAAATTCAAAGTCTTAGGAAAATGATTAGAAAATAATCATTTTATTAATTTTTTTTCATTTAATATGAATAATGGCTATAATGCTGTATCAATCACACTATATTATTGTCCATATCAGTTAATAATTATCCATTCATATTCTTCACAGTAATAATGGATTAATACCAGGCCTTTAAACGGGTAACTGCTTTTTAGGAACCAACTATTTGCTAGTTAAATCGGCTTAACATTTTTGCTGAGAATGATCAATTTCACAAACCCATTTTGGTTATTTTCAATAATGAACCATAATAGTAATTGAACAACAAATTCAAAAACTTAACCCCCTCTCAAAATTTGAGGTTTTACGTTTCAGGAAGTAGAATTCGAAAAATGAAAACATTTTTTGTCCGTCCACGTATTTTCTCCGAAACTACTGGACCGATTTTTCTCAAATTTGGATTTAAAATCAAAGATCACCCAAGGATGATCCTCTTTCATCGACATTACTGTCCGCCTTTTACTTTCAAAATGGAGGCCGAAAAACCTGCGTTGCTATAGACTGTAACGCACCTAAACGAATATACCGATTTCAATGAAACTAGGCTAAAGTCTTCTTCTTGATGCCCTTTAAATTTATCCATATAATATAATACAACAAAAAGAAGCTGGAAAAATGTTACGAGGGATGGTAAAATTAGATTCCAAATAACCCAAAAAGTATACACTGGTTTTTTTAAAAGTTTACAAAATTTCCTAAAAAAAAAAAAAAAAAAAAAAAAATCAATAAAATCGGACAATTAGGAGCAAAGATATGGCCTCTAAATGTTTTGTATGTTCTATTGCAAATCCTTTGTTTTGAATTTTCATTTTTGAATGTGTTACTGAAGTAGTGTATTTTTTTTTTTTTTAGCAAATTACTAATGATGAAAAAAAATGTTTAGAGAAATGATTGGAATTAACTTTTTATTTCTTTTAATTTGTCATAAGAAAGTTAATGTTACTTTAGATGTATAATTGTTGTAAAATAATAAACCATTGTAAAATAATTTGTAGTATTTTTTTTTTTAATAACAATTTTTAAAACATAAAATGCTTATTAATAACATCATGGTTTTTAGACATGATCATTTCTAACATCATGTTAGAAATAATTAAAAAATCACAAACTTGCAATCATCCAACAAAAACAACGAAATTAAGCTAATCCAACAGAAAACATAAACAGAGTCATGTTGGATACTATGAAAATGTTATAGTTAGTTATTGTCAAGTACTGAGATACATATCATTACTTTCATGCCTGATAACACTATCTACACATATAAAGTTTCTTTTTTATTTAAAATCATATAATTACTTTATATTTTATATTATTAAAATGTAAACAAAATTTTGCAGTTAGTATTTAGTTATGTTTTCAATTAATTTAAAATTGAGTTAGAACAGTCAGAAAATAAACACTAATTTGTCCAATAGGTAAAGATATTATCTACAAAGCTGTACTTATTGTTTGACATTAAAGCAACAATATTTAAGCTATGGATTGTTCTTGAAGCATTTTGTCTTTATAAACCTCTAAAATCAAGTAAACATTTTTTGTATGACATTAATTGTTTGTATAGTGCCTTGCAGATAATGTGCAAACTATGTAGTATACATTTATTCTTTGCACAGGGAAATTTCTTTTCTTAAAATATCTGGACTAGGCAGGTAGTTCTACCACGTCTTACTTGCCATCAAATCAATTCATTTTAAACTCCCTTCCTATGAATAAAGTATTTTCAACATCATATTTGTTTTCTGATAGGGAGCAGGGTAGCTCAGTGGGGAAGCAGTGACTTTCCAAGATCAAGGACCTAAGTTCGAATCCGGCTGATAGCAAATAATTTGTTATCAGCCATGAATCAACCCTGAGGTCAAAAGACCTTAATCCTGGGGCATACCCAGGCCTCTATAAGTCGTATAGGGGACACCTCTTTTTCCATCATACTAATGCATGCATAGTAAAAGGTTCTTCCTTAAATCATTTAATATAGTTTATAAATCTCCTTTTTTTTCAAGATCTATAAGGTAACAGCAACAAATGAATTATCTGTGCACAGCTTTGCTATATAAATAGTAAATTAACCACCCATGCAACTACTCAGCTCTGATCCAATAATATTCTAATATGGAAGGAGGATAAAGCATTAGGAGGATTCAGAATTTTATCTGTACATACATGAAAAAGTAAAAACGCCTAGCAACTTCAACAACCACATCTGAGACACAATGCACTCGAGAGACAAATCATTCATTTGAAACAAATTAAGTAATTAGGAATACCTGCTGTATATATTATTAAGTTTTATATATACATACATACATACATAAACAGAAACATTAGGCGCCAGAAGCTAAGAAATGAATGTATAAAATTTACAATATAACTTAACTTAGAACCTAATTTAAGGTTAGTCTAATTTCTGATACCATTATTATATACATATTTACAACTATTGACTGTACATACATAATTATTTTATTAAATAAATGGCATAACCCTTTAGGTGATAATAATTATTAACCAGTAACTAACCAAAGTAAGAAGTAAATCACAAAATATATTTGCCTGTGTTCAATATGAAATGGTAAAAATTGAGCACCTAATGCCTAATTAAATAATACACAGATAAGTAAAATTGAGATTACATGTAATAAAATTCTGTTTTAACAAACAAATATTTTTATTAAACTAAGAAACAAAAAAGAAATTTCTTATAATAACTATTCATTATATATATTTATATATGTGCGAAAACGGCAATCTTAATAAAATCTCATTGCCTCTCTGTCCAAAATAATCAAGATCCTAAAATCCTGTTCACTTTCACAAATGGTTGGTATTTATTTTTCAGTTGGTTCTTTAGAAGTCACTGATATAAAATTTGGAGTCAGATTTTGGAACTAAAAAACGGTAGATTCATACTGACCCGTAGAGGGTCCTTAGTTCAGTACACTTCATAAAAACATAAAGGTACATTGGCTCTAGCACGAGGAAATATATAATTAACACCCTAAACCTCAGGTCTCCTTCTTTGGGAAGAACTATTGACCCTCAAGAGGATATGGTATTAATGATTCAGACAACAGTCGAAAATTACCTTGGTTATAGATTGTTTTATAAAAAAAAAAAAAAAAATTGATAAGGAAAATGATACAAGGAATTTGGGAATATTTAAACCTTCATTGTCAAGCATATAAATTGGTGGAGGAAATGAGCAGCTATCATATTACTATTGTAGGTTAATTAAGTTAGTGAGGTGAAAAAGAAAGATATTGGAAAACTAAAGTTAGATATGAGTTAAATCATGCCATATTCTGGTGAGCAGAATGAATTAAGAGCTAAAGGAATCATCTTCAAGAACGAGATATTACAGAAAGTGGAGGAAGATAGAAATCTATCTGTCTAAAAATCATATCCGCAGATATAAACCCTATTGAGAAAAATTAATTTAGTGGAGATGTATGCCCAAACTAAAGAGGTATTTGTCCTTGATAAAGAACAG